ATTGATTGTTCGGATCACTAGTATCTAAGTCTTCCGCTGTGCTATCTTATACTTTGTATTGAAAGGTCGGTTCTTGTTCTGGTCTGCACTTATACGGTATGCAACAGGCTGGGAAGGATACAACCGGCATAGCTGAAGCGGTAGTCGATGCAGACGAGCAGCACTGTGGCACGTGCTGCAGGTGTGATAAAAAAAAGGCGGTTCCATACCTGTATGTAAAACCACAATTTCGAAAACTCGAAGTCCCACTATATTAAATTCCCCTGGGCAGGAGTTGTCCCTATGTCGTAAAGGACTTATCTTAGTCCGATTAAGGCTCGAAGAAAAGAAAAGAAAAGAAAAGAAAGAGAGTGCAATACGTCATCACCCCTCGGAACAAGATGATGGCGATTACAGTTGCTCACTGATCCATTGTCTACTTACTTTCACAAGCTCTTTGGCGAGTGGCCTCTTGGGGGAGTAGGCACCACCCTGTTTTCATGTAAGTGGCGCCCATTTTTTGTCTTTTTCAAGAGGGAGGATCTTCTCCATCAAGGGAGCTGGCACTGCCCTCCTGAATTGCCCCTGACCTCATGAAAGGGGATTTCATGGTGGTTCCTGGTTGGCACTTTTGAGAGGGAGGTCACATCAGTCCTCTGCTGGTTCCAAAGGTTTGGCGCTGTTCTTTGAAATGACATCATAGCTGGGGTCGAGCTGGGGTGCTGGAGAAAGAATACGTCTCCATAATCTTTCATTGAAGCATTGTTTTAAACCACCACTATCTTTCTCAGTGTTGGGAAGAATGGGAAAATAGTTTACTCCGGGATTCTCGGAGGTTCCAAGGAGGCTCGGCAAAAGGAAAATGTGTGGGCCCTATGGGCCGGATTAACGTCAGGGAAGGGCGTGAGCGAGGTGTGCATCAGTACTTAAAGGAATGTATCTAACTAAAACTTTGGTCAGTTTCAGCTTTTGTTTTCTTGTTTTTCTTCTCCTTCGTTTATTCTCTTTACGCTGCCCCTCCAGCGAGGTGCCCGCCAGCAAGGTGGGGCGCATTCAACGGGCTGCTGACACTTTGTCATGGAGGGCATACTCTCACATGTACTCCAGATTCTGTTTCCAGCGCTTCCACGTCCATAACGTTGTTGCTTTTTTTTCCGCTTTTCCTTTTATAAAGGAACTGCCATGATGATCGCATCGCTGCAACACCCTTATTGAGGGCATAGCCTCACACGTGTTCCACATTCTATTCCCAACCGCTTTCACGTCCATAGCATCGTTGCTTTTTCATTTCGTTGTTCATCCGCCATGAAGACCAGGACGCTGTAACACCCTCACTGAGGGCATACTCTCACAATTTACTCCGACCCGAATGCATCCAACTACTTTCGCATCCATAACATTGTTGCTTTTTTGTTTCATCTTTCTTTTTTAAATGTGAATGCCGTGATGAAACAAATTCCTTTTTTTGGTAAGAGTACCAGAAAATAAAAGACAACAGAAGCTAGGCTCGGCAAACTCGGCACGCGGTGAAATTCAGGGTCTGCAAAAAACAGGAGCAGAGGTAGTGGTGGTTTAAATTTGTTCGCAGTTGATGAAACTCGGTTGAGATTCTGGGAAAATTTTGTATATCTGATTGACTTGAGAAAGAAGGGGGGATAAAGATTTGAATTTTACACTTCAAATCTATTTTTTCTCTGTACGTTGAGCTTCCGCTGTGTACACCTCTCTGGCTTTGTGTGGTTTTGCCTTCTCCAAGTCTGCTGATTTATTGCATGCATGTATGGGAACATGGGAGCGACGTGTGGATGAAAATCCAACTAGTTACACAGCAGGGACATAGACCAAGACCATATTCTATTAGGACGGAGGCCCGTTCTGATGAACTCTGGGACCTTGCAGACCTATTTCTGACTCCTCGCCTTGGATGCATGTAAACACTTCAACGTCCAAAGCCAAACACAAACACGACCTAATTCACAACGCACCCACCAAGTACTGTCATTATTTTAGAAGATGAGCGCCCACTACATTGTCACATAACTAATACATCATCAAACAGAGCTGCCCGGTAAACCCTAGGCAGAGTGGGAGAAGAGGACAACAAACGAGGGGGGCTGTGACAAACTGTTTCGTCAGAGTTTCACCGACTCACTAGGAGGCTGAACCCTCGACAGTCTGCAGAATCTCCTAACTGTGTTGTGGTTAAGCATCAACAACTGCCCGACAACTGATACCCTAAGGTGGGCACCAACCTATACATGTTGAACTGCAATTCACGACGGTGCAAACCAGTACACACCATTGGCTGTAGGAAAAAGCCCAAGCATGCCATTTTGCCATGGATCTCAAGAGGAGCCGTTTGCCTACCTCAGCCAAAGTAGTGCCCATACACAGATGTTCTCTCTTTTCTGACTCCCAATACCAACGGTGATCCTGAAGACCTCCCTCTTGGTTATTACATTCCAACACCTTATGCACCTGATCATTTACCAAATTCACGCCACACAACCGAAAAAAAAAAGCTTCAGAACCTCCAAGCCTCTACAAATTCCGCTGTGTCAATCAGCGCTAACAATTTGTTTTTGTTAACTTAATAGCGCCGCCTTATTGCTCAACTTTGATGGAGAACACAAACTACTTTCACCTGCAAATACAAACAACAACAAAAAAAAAAACTAAAGCGCACGTCATTAAGAGCCATCACCCACCAGCCCCGTGCATTAGTCCTCCACACAACACGACCAGGTTACCATAGTCCCATGATCTGTCATGGCTGTTTGAACATTGCTTCAGATGCCACAAAGCATCTCATCCCAGCACTTAACAGGGAAGTAGCTTGATAGACAGACATTAGCATGCTTGACAAAATGGGACAGATTTATAAAGCCAGGCAGAACAAACCTTATAAATCTGTCTGCATTTGCTGAAGGGCAAATGTGAACCTTATAAGTTACAACATTTGCTTACGGGGTTCAGCATTTTGAGCCTCAATTTCGGATGAATACCAGGGGACTACGTTGGGGTCTCTCAACTTCTCATGAATACCAAAATGCTAAGGATACGACAAAACCACGCAGCCACAATCTTCTGCCAGACGCAGAAAGTCCACTGCTAGAATCGTGCTAGAAATAAACGTTGAGCAATAAATACTTCACACTGTGGGAGCAGTTGACTGACAAGACCGTGGTCAAGCCCAGTAATTCCTGGTTCGTAGAAGAAATGCAACCAGGGAGTTGCGAAAAAAATAGAGTTCGTGAGCAATTTGAGCTTCCGACGCGAGAGCCTACGTAGGGCAAGAATTGACATCATACCCTCTCGACTCTCCAGCTTCGTTTCTAAACCCAATCGTTATGCTGAACACAGTCAGTGCATCAAACTGCCGTCCACCACACATGTCAGGCTCTTCGGTAGTTGCTCCTCCTTTCGTCGACACAGCAATTACTGCACCGGCTGTCATTACACTTCATAACATCCTGGCTGGCAAAATGCCAAGCAATCTTGGTGTCCCTCACCTCTTTCCCTGACCAACCCTCCATACATTGTGCATCCTCTTGCCGCATGTGCACCCTTTTCTGAATCCCCAGTTCACAATTCCCGAGCGTTCCATCTGTGGGCTTTGCCCATATCTCACTCATTGAGCCTCACTAGCGATCGATGAACATCATCAAGTGCTCACCAAAATTTGCAACACTTCATGCAACAAAGCCATCTGATAGGAGAGCTATGGTGAAAGATGACTACTCAATAGAGACACCTCAATAGACATCCACAGCATCGTGCAACCTATGCCAAGAAGCTAAACCACGGTTGAAATGTGAGGATTAATGAACCCAGGGTTCCGTTGATGGAAATCGCTGCAGATAGCAGGCAAAGTCAAGATGCCCTACCCTCCCACAAAAGAGTGCATTTAGCCATCCAAGCAGATGTATGCTCTGATCTTGACCCTCCCGCACGCCCTGCTAACGAGAACATTATGACAAATCTCAATACGGTTGGCAGCAGAGATTTTGCATTCAGTTTGTCCCTCACGAAAACCCCTGATCCACCAGTTGCAGCCAGCAGCCAGCAGCCAGTTTCACGACCCTTACAACAAAGTCATGCAAGACAGCCACATCGCGAGAACAAATTGTACCATGCTCTAATTCATCAGAACAGCTCTCCCTACAGGTTGGCCTTCTTTTCACATGAGCCCAGTCCCCTCACAAGTGGGTTTCCACAAACATCAACACGGCAAAAAGAGCAAAGCAAGGCAGGGAGAAAAACAAAGAGGCAGCACCTACCCGTCAGCCCCTCCAGCGAACAGCTTGTCTGATGTGGCCCACGCAACCGATAGCACTCGCCCTGCTCAACACGCCTTCCCAAAGAAAAGAATCAGAGGGCGGGCCAATTATGGGAACCAACAAATTTCATTTGCGTTGGACGTTGCAGTTGCAGAAAAAGAACTACTCTACAAAGAGAGCAACCAAACCCAAGACCAGAATCTTAAGAACACAAAATCATGCAGCACTTCAAAAGAATGAATGTTGGGGACACTGCATGATACTATCGTTTGTGGATGTGAAAACTATTCCGTTGCCACACAAGCTATTAACTGCAAGCTGTCCACACTGCAGGCTTATAGCTGCAAGCCATCAACTTCCAGCTATCGCCTGCAAGCTATCAGCTGCAAATTACCAGCAGGATCTGAGAAGAATCCTAGAAAAAAGGACAAACAAGTGTAGTACCGGAAAGACCGAACTATCAAAGGGCATTTGAGAAGAATTTGAGAAGAATTTGAGAAGAATTTGAGAAGAATTCAAGATCGTATGGGAAAGTTTTACTTTTATTTCACACACTAACAGATGTTCTGTTCTTTTCCGGTTCCTTCCCAGAATTCTTGTGCAGAAATATATACCAGCACGTGCGTCATGTAAGCTGTGATGTATCAACACCATCATCTTCACCTGGAAGATAAATGCTTAACAGAGCACCCAAGAAATCACTGTTTTCGCTCCCCCATCGACAGCCAAAATGATTTATCCCTCAAACAAACATGACGTCAAAAGAACAACAAGACCACAAAAAAAAAAAAAAGAAACACCATTAAACCCTCACACAAAACTCCCTTCTCAGCTTTGATAAACATTTGACGATTTCAGCAAAAAATTAAGTTCAGTGCTCAATCCCAAAACCTCCACAAGTCCGGCAATGTAACCTCTTAAACCACCAGTACCTTTTACATGCAAAGGCCTTCCAACGAGTTTGTATGCCACCGCGATCTTCGGATGAACAACACATCCATTACGACTTCCGCCCGAGGTCTGTACAGAACAACACGTCCTGTACGACCTTCTTCATTTCAGAGGAATGATCAAAACAACCGTTTCAGAGGAGTGGTCACAACTCTTCCAGTCAAACTTACCCGTAACAGGAGGCAGAGATCGCTCGAATGTCATGCCATCGGTTCCATCCTCCACAGTATACAGCCGTACACGTCCATCATCGCAGGCAACAGCAACTCGTTGAACCCTCGGCCCCTCGTCATTCACGCACGTGGCATCGCCATCGTCATCATCATCATCGTCATGTCCTTCCTCTCCATCAGATGCGTCACTTTCGCCATCGCCATTCTCACAGATCCCATTACTTTCTGCCCTTGATTTCTTTCTTCCCCTCGTGGTGTGGGGATTTGTAGGCTCAACAGCCATCCCCCAAACTGGTCCACCCAGTGAATCAACCACAGCCTGACAGGACAATACCCAACCCAGACAATACCCAATCCAAACATAACACACAAACACGTCAGAAAAACGCAGCTTCACAGCCAAAAGACCGCCGTCAAGATCGCCATAGATGACTAAACGCAAGCCATCGGTCAAAGGCCGAAAGATGCATCATCAATCAATAGATGATGGATCTACTTTCACCCTTCCACTGATTGCTTGCATCGAGCGGCTGATGATGCACCTTTCAGACCTTCGACTGATTGCTTGCATCGATTCATACCTTAACGAAGTATGTAGATCAGTCACACAATAACTTCCCTGCAACTTGCCATCTCTTTAAACGCTTCCCCTGGACAAAATTGGCCGAGGACAGAGTTTACCTAGAGAGGAATACGGTGCTTGCAGTCAGTAACAGGACAAGTTCATGTAAAGATAGGACGAGAGAAAAAACAAAAGGCAACAGAAAGGAAAGCAATCCTTCAAAGGTGGAGAAGGCTTCATCCACTAGAAGGGGGGGAGGGGGATGCAACACTGTCAAGCCACATGGAGGCCGAAATAAGCAGTCGAAACTGGCAGGGTGCAATTTTCACGTTCGCAAAAGCGCCCTATCATCTTGGGAGAATCTTAGGTTTTCTTCGCGCGAGCTTACAAACTTCACTGTGCCGCCCCCTCATCTTATTAGCCGGCAACGATCATCATGTTGCTCGTATTAGGACTTACTGGCGCACCACACAACAACCAAGTCCACCTGCTGCACATGTAAGCCATTCCGTAACCACCTGCTGAGCTCACACCATAGCGGAATAGCCTGCTGACCTTCTGCCATAGCGTCCAAACCTGCCTGCTGCAGATCCCTCATGCTAGCGGCCAACGCGCATCATGTTCGCTTGTGTTAAGACTTACTGCGGCACCATGCAGCAACCGAGTCCACATGCTCCACATGTGAGCCATCGCCTCAGCACCTGCAGAGCTTGCACCATAGCGCACTCGCATGCTAAGCTTCTGTCATAACACAATTGCCTGCTGAGCTTCTATCATAGTGTCATCACTTGCCTGCAGGAGCGCTGTGCGAGCCATTGCTCACATGCTGCTGCTATAGCCTCATCAACTACGCCACTACACACTCCCCGAGTACCGAAGTGCAGTAGAGCCGTCGGGAATAAGGATGCGGTAGTGGACTACCTTTCGCCATTTTTTTCTCACGTAATCAGCTACTCAGGGGAATTGCTTCAACAGTTCAGCAAAGTCGATTATCCTATTCACGACATTGGATTTCTTTTCGTGAAGTGAAAACAAACTGTTCGTTAGCGTGGGTTTGTTTCCGTGAACTTGACAAACATGCATCACGAAAAAAGATTGGTTTGCCTCCAAATTGATAAATCATTCGGTGAGATTGACCATTCATATCGCCAAGGAGAGTTCCGTCATCATGTGCGAAATTGCTGGGTCAAAGGAGTAAACTGAGAGAAAGGGAAACAGCGTGTGTAGTCTTGCCAATCTGACGGAGAGCAGTGTGCTTGGAAGCAATATGCAAATTCATTATGTTTCCACTTCAATCACACATATCACTGTCATTGTGTTTTCTATTCCAATCACAAACATGCAAAAAATGTTGCATTTCTACTTCAATCAGAAACATGCAAATTCATCGTCTTTTCATCTCAGTCAGAAACATCATCGTGTTTCTTTTTGGTTACCATTCAAATTCATTGTGTCGTGTTTTCATCCTCGTGTCTTCATCTCAGTCCCAATCAAAAGCATCGTGTTTTCATCTCAGTCCCAATCAAAAGCATCGTGTTTTCATCTCAGTCCCAATCAAAAGCATCGTGTTTTCATCTCAGTCCCAATCAAACTCATCGTGTTTCTTTTTTTATCAATCAGAAATATCATTCCACAAGCAAATTCAATATTTTCTATTTCATTCAGAAACAAAATTGATTGATCCCTGAGATCCTTCCTTGTCTAAACATCCCGACCATAGAAAGAGAGAGCAGATCGATATTAGTATATATCAGGTTTTGCAACGAATCAATTTCGTTTCAATTTTTTTCTTAGCAGCAAACTCATTTTAGTATCATGTTTCGCACCTCTAGTTCGCTGGACAACTTCGATTTGCATTCACTACCTTCTTATCCCCGAATTGAACGCCCGGTCATTACCGCTGCATCTGGACTGAAAGTTGGCCCAAATACAGCTGCTACAATGTTGCCACACATACAGCTTCAATGACCGGGCGTTCTATTCGTGTGAATACGGCAGTACGTTTACTGAGGGGAATACCCCACATGAATCACAATGCCTATACAGCTTCAATGACCGGGCGTTCTATTTGTGTGAATACGGCAGTATGTTTACTGAGGGGAATACCCCACACGAACCACAATGCCTATCGAATCGAGTTTGAAGAAACGTCAAAACAACAAGGAATAAAACAGCATGTTTCCCACAAGAATCACGTAGCCTACGAAGACATGGCAGCGAAGCCATCATAACTGCCATCTTTTCGGTCTTTGGTGGCCTTTTTTTGTTTCCACTACAATAGCTTTACGTTCGCTCACAAAAGAGAACAGCCATGCAATTGGCAATTGGCAATTGTCACACGCACACACCTTCTGGCGGAGAGTACACAGGTCCCATTCGACAAGCAGCCCATCAAGACCCGCTGAGAAGAGCCTCCCAGATGGACTTCCACCTTCACACCAAACGAGCGAACTGATGCTCGCTTCCTTCCTGCCCGGAATTTTCTGCAATGGAGAACAACACACACATGAGAGCCCGTGTTATAAATGTTCAACATCAACCTCGACGGCCTCGAACGAAGAACGTTGTAGATGACATGTGAACCCGAGAAGAACAAGCACGACATGTGTACAATTTATGCTCTAGCACTAGATCCCATAGCACTAGATCCCATAACCAAACCAATCAACAAGGTTTCAGATGAATGAAACAGGTTTGAGGTGGTCCTGAACTTGGAACTAAGTTTCAAAAAAACACAAAAGACAATCCCAGATGACGATTCCCACATAAAAGCACCGCCCCCTCACACAGGCCGAGCAACGGGAAGCAACCAACTAGGATGCCAAGACTTCAATAAAGACAAATCGGATGACAAGTCCCACATGAAAGCACCGCTACGCTCGCCGAGATAGACCGAACCCCACGGGACAAAACCAACCGGGATGCAGCAGACAAGATTACCAAAACAAATTCTACAATTATATCCATAAAATTAAAAAAAAGGAACCATTAAAAAAAAAAAAAGGGAACCATACAGCAGGTCCGTATTATACATATATTTTCTCCCTCTATGTACAGCAGCTCACAGGGAAGTTCTCTATATGACTATATATAAGTCCCCTTTTTTGGTAAACAGTCAGTCGCCTGGATCTGGTCACTGCTCTCCGTCAACGCAAACAAAAAGGAGTCGACTGGAAAACACGTTTTCATGGGAATTTTAGATGTCATGTTGCATTCAATTCTGAGGCAGGGAGCAACAGAGATCCTGACAGCAGCAGCAGCGTCTAGCTCAATTCACAATGACCCTAACTGGAGCACACTGCCGTTAGGAAAAGGTGCGCGGGCCTTATAACAGTCGCAGCTGCTGATGATATGTCTGAGAAGATAACCTTCCCCCCCATGTCCCATCAGCTGCTGTTAATAAGGTTGGTTTGAATGTGAATCCACATTATACGCGATGGCGCTGTCCCTTCCATTGCGTATAACGTGGATTCACATTGAAGTTTCAATCCTTTAGATTCACATTCAAGGCGCAAGCCATACTAAGGTTTGCCTGAGAAGATATTATCCTTCCTCCTGCCTGCACAATTGCACGCAAAGGTGCAGAGGCCCTAATAAGGAGGTTTGTTTGAATGTGAATCTTCTACATTATACGCAATCGTGCATGAATGTGAATCTTCTACATTATACGCAATCGCCAAGACAGATGGAAAAAAAATAGTTTAGGTCACCCCACCATCTCCTCTTCCTCATCTCCTCTCTTTCTCTTCCTCTTCAGATCGTCACCATTGCCACTACCATGGTGCGTGCAGTCCTTTCCTCCATCTCTTCTTTCTCTTCCGATCCTCGCCGTTGTCACCACCATCGCCTGCATCCTCCCTCCTCATCATCGTCATTGCCCTGTTTTTTTCTCTCTTCTTCTTTTCAAACACTTACATATTGCTATTTGCTTCCGTGAGAGCTCATTGATATCATCTCATGATCCCAAATCCTTGTAAATGGAAACCAAATTCGACCAATCCTTTCCCAAGAATGAACGAATCGCCATCGCGAACTCATTCACCGTCACCATCCCATTTATCCCTTGCTTTATCCTACAAATCCTTCTTCATCACCATCGTTATCAACAGCTTTCTTGACATCGCCATCATCATCACCATCACCATCGCCATCACCATCACCATCGCCATCATCATCACCATCGCCATCATCATCACCGTCTTTCGCCCGACTAGAACGCCCGGTCATCACAGCTGTATTCGAGGCAACTTTCGGTCCAGATGCAGCGATAATAACCAAGCTTCCATTAGGCTGAAGACTACCGTCTTCACACGAATAGAACGCCCTGTCATTATAGCTGTATTTGGCACACCTTTCGGTCCAGATGCGGCGATAATAACCGGGCGCTCCATTAGGCTGAATGAAGACGGTAGCGCTAAGACGCCTCGGAGATTCATAAGCAGCAGCTGCCAGTCTAGATACTTTTTGGGTTAAATGCTATACAGCTATAC